TGAAATACCCTTCCTCTCCGCCACTTGCATTAATTCTATGGTTGCTAGCTTAGAGCGATGCAAATTTGCTTGGATGACGTGCATTCTGCTACCGCTCAATCCCGAGGGAGTCCCACTTCGTTGCACCTGATCAACTTTAGCAATACGCTATGCGAGATCGTGCTATAGCGTCCCATTTTTGTCTTTCTCGACAGACGTCACTAAAAGCATTGTGTGCAGTGTCGGCGCTGACACCCTGCACCTTCAGGCAATTCCTGCATGCTGGCGGTTTATTTGAAAGTCGACTTGGACATTTCTCCCAGGTATGCGGTTCTCCGCAGTGACTGCAGAGGTGATCTTTAGCCTGGCACACTATTTTAGTGTGACCGTACTCCAGGCATTTGTTGCATTGGACCAGAGGAGACTGGTCAAACACAGGTCTCCTCTGCAATCCTACGTAAATTTTCCCAGCCTCCAGGAATCGCCTGTGAATACTTGGTGACAGCTCCAGCACTGGATGACACTCGTGTTGGTTTCGTGCCTTTTTCCTGTACTTCACCCTTATGGTGCTGTCCTGCATATTGACGTCACTGAGAAGATGTTTGTTTTGAGCTAGTACGTGTTCCACTAGTTCTGTGTCTGTATGGTAGGACAATACATCTGCTATTCGGAGCAGTGGGTTGCTAGCTTTGGCTATTTCAACTTTGAGATCATCCTTTTTCTGGACTTGGCATTGCACCAGCTTCATATCTTCTCTGGTGCCGCAGCTTATGACAACCTTCTGGTTCTTTGCCTTTCTCACCTTTTCCACTTTTGCTCCTGTCTTTTTGCAGTCCAGAGCTACCCTTATCTTTTCAATAACATTGTCTCCTGTGTTTTTGGGGTCCGTTGAACTTATGATAAGGGTGTGGTTTGGTCTGGGAACGGATGGTTTGGATGCCACCTGCGCGTATGTGGGCTGTCGGATTTGTCTGACAATGTCTGCCAATGCCATTTCCGTACGCACACTTGGCGCAGGTGGGGGAGGCGTTCGCTCTTTAAGCTGTCTCATTGTTCGCAGTTCTGATGATACTGCATCCAGTCGCTCGGTGATAGGCTGAAGGTCATTTTTAAGTTGGGGAAGATGGTGTTGCGATGAAGGATCTTTAATATGATCTGCTATTAAGTTGAGAGTTTTTTTTACTCCAACTAGATCCTCCTCAATTTTTTTTTGACTCTGGGTGGTTATTTCTGTCGGGACACTATGCTCACGGGAACTCAGCCTAACCTGTATCTCCTGACTCATTGTTTGGAGAGTGGTCGTGTTTTCTAGAGTTTTATGTTGACCTCTGCGCAGTTCATCCAGTTGCTGAGACAATGTCTGTACTGTTTGAAGCAACCTGGTCTGCTGTTCTTTCAGAGGCTGGAGTTCTGCTTCTGTCAGAGTTTTAGTAGGCAAGTCTCGAGAGAGGTTCCACTTAGCAACGGTCGCTTTTATTTCTGAAGTGGATTTGAGTATGTCTTCTATCCTCTTGTACGGTTCCAACGTCTCGTAGCCAAGCCAAGAACGAATGGCCTTTGTCTGCTCGAGGTTCGCCGTTAAATCGTTTCGTGCCGATGCTACTTCTGAGGTTAGGTCTTTGGTTACCTCAGCAATTTTCTTGCTATGGGCCCTTTCGATGGCAACAATTTCCCTAGCATGACGTGACCTCTCCCTCTCCAGGCTCAACATATGCCGTGACCGGGAGTCTGACAGGGCGAGACAGGTCTCGTACAGGGACTGAAGACATTGTATAGCTGTTAACTTGAATTCCCGCTTCATGTTCCCGGCAGATTCCAAAGCCGTTTTTCCTCGCTGAAGCAGTTCATTGGCATATTTGTTTGCCATATCCATTGCGATGCCCGAGCGCCGTCCATCTCCGGGCAACATGCTGTTCCTTCCCTGCGTTTCTGACTTATCCTGAGATCTGAAGTCCCAGGCCTCGTCATCCGAGAGGATTTCAGCTTGCTCCCATGTTTCCACCCTTTGAATGGCCTCCAAGTACGACTTTACAATGTTTCCCGTGGATATTTAGAACTAGCTACTTTCACACGGTTTCACACGCTCTGCTCAGCTCCTATTGGTCGTAGCGTGATGTTTTATAGCCTATAGCCATTCTCGATAAATGCGCTATCCAACACAAAAACATTTATTCAAATCGGACTTGTAGTTACGGAGATTAGCGCGTTCAAACAAACAAACAAAAAATACTCTTCCGCTTTATATAATAGTAAGATAAGATATAAGATTTTCTTTGATACAAACATCATCAAACATGACAAAATGAGTGTTATTCAATTTCAAAGTCAAAGTCAAAGTCAAAATCATATATTTCAATTAGACCAGAACGATAAATGTCAACAAAATTTTTATATTGAAGCTGTTCGCTCATTCCAAGATGTAGATTCCTACGGAAAAAAACGAGCAAGAAACTCCTTAGGTTACAATTTGGTCAAGTAGTTTGGGAGTTGTACATACACACATTCACAAACATCTGTAGATGTGTCTTACTAAATTGAATGAATAAAGAAACACAAAATACCCAACGGCTTAAACACCACTCATATCAATTATCAAGGCAATAAAATATATCTTATAAAACATTCGTAAAATTTCTTAACGCTATACTATAATATTTATTGATATAGAAATTTAAATTTCGAATGCTTGCTCAACGGATTAAATAAATTCGTAAAGAAATAAATGTAAATACATTGTCACTATGGCAGATTTAGAACTCATTGAGAAACTTAAAATTAATAAAAACATGACGAAATTGAATAAAGGTTTGTAAGAAAAGATTGAAGATCGGTTTAATGACTGCTCCAGATAAAGTATTTATTTGTAACTACTAAAAAAATGTGCTGCAGTCAAACTTTTTTTTAAATAAAAGAAAATGGCGTCTACGAAAGAAAGTATTTTTCTAATTTGTTTGTAAAAATTATAACATAAATTACCTATACAAGAACGAGTACGCGTTACATAGCTATCCTTACTTCCTAACTTATATTATAAATCGGAAAGTGAGTTTGTTTGTTTGTTCCGCTTTCACGCCGTAACTACTAAACTGATTGCTTTGAAATTTTGCAGACGTAAAGTTAGAAGTTTGGATTAAATAATAGGGTACTTTTTATCCCTAAAAAATTTGATATTCCCAAAGGGAAAACAAAAATATTGGTATACATAGCGCTGTGTGTATTGGTATAGATAGCGCTGTATGACATTTCAAACAAGTCAACGAATTACCTACTAATTGGAAAAATCTAAAAAGCGCGATATAATCGAATTCCACGCGAAAGCTAATTGTTTGTTTGCCTGTCTTAAACGACAGAACGGAGGTATCAATTAACGTGATTTTTTAACTAAAGGAAGTTCAAGGGATGGATAGGCACATAGGCTACTTTTTATCCCTTTGTGACGCGAGCGAAACCGCGGGTAAAAGCTAGTGTTAAGATAAAGAAGTCAAGTGCGAAAATGAAATGCACCATGCATCATGCCTATGTTCTGCAAGCCGTCAATGCAACAAAGTACTGCAAAACTAGAGTTAAATCATTCTAAATAATACTCGAATATTAATCACAAGTCATAACTTCACTAAGCAACTTTATAACCACTATAACATGTATATTGCAATCATATATTACTTCATAATTACAATGTAAATCGTTTAGGCTTCCTTCGCACTGGTATTAAGACTTTCTCTGATATCTGTATGAGAAATGTTTCCGGCAGCTAATGGCTTCAAATGGTGTGTCAGACGCCTATGACTTCAACGATATTTATTATTCTCGTAGTTAGTTGGACTGGCAGCAATGTCATCTTTGGAATTTTGTGCCTAGATTTATTTAGTCGCTGGAGCGTGTTAGTATGTTGCTCATCTCATCAGCCTATGTCTTTGATGAATTCCTGGTATTCTAAATAGGTATCTTAGTATCAATCAACACTTGAACTGAAATCTATAACAGCTGCTGTATATGTGAATGTCTATGTACTTATTACAAGTACTCGCACGTATTGGGCTGTGAACACATTATCACGTACTGTTCTATCAATCTAGTAAATGTTAGGATTATGTCTGCGTATTTTTTTTATTATTGGGACATAATGCTCTTGATTTTCAAATAAAATCTCTGTTTCCTCTGTATTTTTCTAAAGGTTTCATTTATCAAGAATAACTGCAATTTATCACACTTCTGTCCCCATTCCGTGGTCAGTATTTCCATTTTATTAATCTGCTGATTGATATAATATTTTTATGAGACGGTTGTGGTAACCTCATTATTGTCATGGTTTTGTAATGTTCCTATTGACAGATAGATATTGGGAACACCTAAGTAAGGTACAAGTCGCTTTAGCAAGCAGGCGATATTCCTGCAGTCGGCAACAGTGTGACGCAAGTCTCGGTTCTCTCCGGACAGAAGGTTACTACGAGGATCTCCCCACAAAACTTTGTATTTATGGCCGGTTGCTAACTGTTTAGATATTAACGTAAATACGAGAGTCTTGAACTTGTACAGTTTGTAGTAGTGTTCGATTGGAGAGCGGTTACAAATCGACTATTGATATATTTATCATTACTTATCCAGATTCGGAATACGGTCGGGCCTGATTGAGATATAAACACATTACCTCCGTCCGTGCGAGCGGTCCAGCGGCCGCGAACCTCAAATTCACGGTCATATAAATCATTGACAGGGTTATGAAACAGATTTTTACATCGAGCCATTGGCACGGCCAAGTCAAGTGGTGAACAAAAATACACCTAGACAACGCCTACCAGCATCCAGCTACATTCATTCATAACTCCAACGTCATCTGTATATCTCCTGTAGATACCAGTTCGGCTGTGTTCATAAAAAATTGTCTCAACACAGTCTCAAGCCGTTTGTTTACCTCACGGATGCTGCGATGTATTTTCTGCGTAAGAACTCATTTTCCGCAACGCTTTGTATATCTTTGAATTAATTCTGGCAATGTAAATTGAACTTGGACTTTTTTGCAGCAGAAGAAACGAGGGAGAGGAGATGGGAAGAATAAAGAAAACATCATAGAAGATGTGCATGATGATAAAGATGAAGGGTCTCCGGAGCCTGTCGTGGAGAAGAAGAATGTATGCTACGAGATCCGGCAGTCTGAAGTGATGGGCAGGTAGGCAAAAAGTTTTTAAATTAGTTAATAGACATTTTTATACTACATTCATTAACCAGTGACAAACACGTGGTGATTGGGCCTTTGCTCTTCTTTTGCATGGAGAAGGACGTGTATTTAAATTTAATGATCTTGTAAAAGTTTTGATGACGTCGGTTGTATTTTCCCGCGCATTTGTAGGCGCTCAGGGATGTACGGTGGTGTTAGTAGACAATTTGGCGAGCGGCCCATCTCTATTTATGCACTATACGGATTTCTGGACTAATCGTGTAAATGCATTTAACCGTGAATGATGAGAGCTTTGTGGTATTTTCGGATAAAAATCTTTATATAAATATTTTACTGTTCGTTGTTTAACTGGTGTTCTGGATTAAAGACCAATGCATTAAGGAAAATATAGTGTAGGACACCTCTCCACCTAAATGAATTTACTACATCCTTCAAAGTGTTTGACAGTGGATTCAACCACCGCAAAGAGCACAAAGATCCAGTTCAGGAAGAGGCTATTAGTATTAGAGTAGAAGCTTAAGTCCAGCAGTAGATGGAAATGGGTTCATGTTAATTATTAATTAATTATTGTATTTACATTTCCAGATATCTGGTAGCAAGTCGAGATATAAGAGCTGGCGAGGTGATTGTTGAGGAACCAGCCATTGCTGTGGGTCCCTGCACTGGATGCGCTCTCATCTGTCTTGGCTGTTACCGGGAACTTGATGAAACCAGCTTAGCGAAGTATGATGTTGTTTTGTTTATTTGTTGTAAAATGTTGCTTGCTTCTTGCTCCTACCATTTACTCTTCTCTGCATTACTTAAAGATCAGGCTGGGATAAAAAGCCTGCGTCATTTAGTCCACCTAATATACAATTTGTGCATAAAGCTTAAATAAATATAAATAAATAGAATACTTCTTCCATTTTTCGGCGGTTGTTGATACTAGATGCGCCAGTACTTAGAATTCTAACAATATAAACTTTTGAAAATTTATGAAATTGAGGATCTAGAGATATCATGCACGTATAGGTTCTCGTACGCATCTACAATACAAAGCTTTTAATCATAACTGGCACCTACTATTACCCCAGATGCCGAGGCTGCAAATGGCCGATGTGTAGCAGTTCATGTCCTGGCTCCGGCAAGTACACAGGTCACTCAACGTATGAGTGCGACACTCTGAAGGACATACCACCAGACTACTCCAACCTTGAGGACCTCAAGGATTCCTATCAAGCTCTGATGCCTTTAAGGTAAGTTAAGAATTTTGGCAAGCATGCCATTTTTTGTTTACTAACTATATCTACTACTAGTATCACTTCATAAAATAGATAGATTACTGTCTATTGGTTCAAAATGCATAGTAATTTGTGTATTTAATAGATTTTTATCCGGATGGTTCTGTAATAAAATTGTAAACCTATTGCGGAATATCTGGTTAGTGTTTGAATACTGTGCATGCAATTTATCTTGATCTAATTATAGTAATTGAAAGCTAACAATAGATATCGGCAAAGAAAATATAGAAAGGTTTTAATACAATACGATTTCCATTTCCACTCAATAGGGATGATGACAGGGTATGAAAATTAAAATTCTAATTAGTCCGCAAGTTAGGTAATGAAAAAATATTAGACAAGTATTTTTTTATTTTAGCGTATAATAAGCGGAATGGAGGCTAAAACGTCATTTCTACGTATAAAATGTACATAGAAGTGACGTCACACGACATTTCAAATCAATATATCGTCGAAAGTATTTGTTTCTGTAAGGAAATAAAAAAACGTGTCTAATGATTTAAAATAAACTACCACACGGACATTAAAATAAAAATTAGGCATCTACCCTATTATTATTCACTGACTAACACCATCTATTATCATGATTCCAGATGTTTGTTACTAAAAACAGCGGACCCTGCGAAGTGGACAGCATTATCAGCGATGGAGGCTCACAATGAGATGAGGAAGGCAAGGGGAGACATCTGGCCGATCAATGAAAAGAACGTCGTACAGCGGATGAAGAAGTGGGGACTGCAGTACGAGGATCAGGAGATACATACTGTCTGCGGGATATTGGAGGTAATATGATAGTACTAAGAACGTGATTAAATATTTTTTTAACTACCTTGCCAAAAGCCAAGTGTACAAACAATAAGAAACCTAGAGCACCAAATACCATATTTCGATAAGATGACTGACCCGAAACAAATTGAGGCCTATATAACTTAGACAAGACTCTGAATGTCAGTCATGATGTTCAATGAGCAGTTAACTTACTCCTTGTTTCAACACTTGCCTATTTAGAATCACATTATCTGTAAATGGTTAGTGCGTTTTACACAGTGGACATTCACATATTTAAAACCACGTTATTTTTGGACACAAAGAGCATTAATATTTATTGTATTCTCAGGTCAATGCTTTCGAAGTAGGCGGCAGTGGTGCCAACGCCAGAGCGCTGTATGACAGGGCGTACCTCCTTGCCCACGACTGCACACCAACCACCACACACACTGACTCCGAGAGGGTTCCTGGAAGACCACTCACCATACGAGCTTCAGTTCCACATAAGGCTGGAGACTTGATATCTCTGTGTTATGCATATACGCTACAGGTAAACCTCTTGATTATTATCATTGGTATTTTTTAAATGAAGTCCAGTCAAGCCATTTATTAAATCTCTTAGAAAGTTATAGCTGGCGAGCGTAGCTATTGTGTTAATTAATCCAAACTTATTCCTTCGAAATATAATGAAAGTAGACCTGGTGAAAGCTTGGAGATTACGACAGACGGAAATTCTGTCGGTTTTTCAAATAGCTACATATCAGATACGTTTATAAAATAAGTCTTGTATATTCCAGGGTACCCTAAAACGTCGAGAGCACATAAAACACAGCAAGTTCTTCGACTGCAGCTGTGCTCGGTGCCGTGACCCCACGGAGCTGGGCACCTACGCCAGTGCCTTCCGCTGCCCGCGCTGCAGCGGCCGCGTGCTGCCCACTGCTCCGCTGGACCCGGCTGCAATGTGGCACTGTGTGGATAATGACTGCCAGTACGTCATGACAGCGCCCTCAGTGCAACTGCTGCTGAAGAGGTGAGGTGAATATTTTATGTTCTTCTTTGTGATAAAAATGGAAGTCTGTAAGGTCTACCTATCGGTCGTAATATCAACATTCTTAGTAATATAAATAAAAATATTTCACCATTTCAATCTCGTTAGTGTTACTCTTTGCTAAATAAAGTGACTGATTTCCATAATATCATCATAAAATATGTCTATAAAGCGAAGAAGAGATTTTGACGCAATATGGAGGTTCCGATAATTTTCCGCCATTATTTTGCCGCTAAACCATAAAACTACCTAATAAATAATTTCCGTTATCATGATGTTCATCATCATTCACCATGTCACTATATCACTATGTTTGAGACTTTTCGACGCTAAACAACTTTTTCAACTTTACAGACTCACAGACGAGTACGAGCAGATAGACGCCAATGACGTCCGAGGATTCGAAGGCTTCCTCCATAAGTACAGGAACGTGATCCACAGCACGCACTACCTGTGCCTGTCCGCCAAGCACTCGCTCAGCCAGCTGTATGGGAAGGTGGCTGAGTACATGATACACGAGATGCCTGAAGCAGAACTCAATAGGAAGATAGAGATTTGCAGGGATTTGATGAAGGCGTTTGACATTATTGAGCCAGGGTATTCTAGGTTGAGAGGTAAGTCTTCAATGTCATTTAGTAAAATACGCTTTTAATGTTCAGGTTAAGGTTAGCGCACACGTGTATTAACAACAATTACTCCGGTTTTAAAAAAGCCAAGAATATTTGCGGATAAGTAATAAATGCGTTCCATTCCAGGAGTAACGTTGTACGAGCTGCATGCTCCTCTTATGATCCTCACTACGAGGGATTTCGAGAAGAAGGCGATCACCAAAGACAATTTACGGACACGACTCAAAGAGGTATGATTCCTTACCTAAATATTTTTTGTATTTTTAAAGTTGATTTGAACAACAGTGATCTGTTGTCTCAATAATTCAGTTAGCAATCAAATTTCCCTTTTCCTTTCCATTGGATTGGTCAAAGATACAATTCAAAAACACTGCTATTACTGATAGTTACGAAAATCCCAAAATTAATTTCCTATTAATTTCAAGCAAGGAGCTTCGGAATTTTACAATTTGCCTTTTTTAATGGAGTGTAATGTTTCATTTTCGCAGATCGTCAAGTACCTCACGGAATCCGCGCTAATACTGGGTTTCGAGCCATCACAGTCCTCCGAGGGTCTGATGGCGACGGCAGCAAGGGATGCTCTCAAGAAGATCAAAACTTGGGAACAGATTATTGGGAAGATATCATGATGACGTGTGATGATCATCAGACGTGCAGATAGATGAGTCATGAGAAGTGGAGATGATGGCAATGTTAAAGAGTTATTATTTAATTTTGTGAATTAAATTATTTATTTTGTGCTTGGGTACCACGAATGTTTAAAATGTTTATACCTAAAGTATGTACCAAGTGTATTTTTATAAAACTGATCAAAATCAATAGGATAATGTCTCACGCCACGTGTTTTAAAAAACCGTTTGTAAAGAGAGTTACTGGGTGATTTTCCTTGTCATCTATTGATTTACAATTTAAATTCTTGTTTCTGTCTTTAAAATTGGGCACATTTGTAAAAAGTATACGATTATAAAATTCTTTATTAGGATTTAAACTTATTCTGTCAATTATTAGCAACAATAACTTTGTTTTTGGTAAATTCTATATTGTTCTCATTACATTTAACGTTCCTATCTATTTTAACTTATTTTCCATCGTAATATTTCTATTTATTACTAATATTATGTTACGTAATGTGACTTATTGCCTAATAATATATACTATTTGTAATATATAAGTATTGGTAAATATTGCCTAATATATTTTTGTGAAACATTTATTTATTCATTCCTTCCACTAAAAGACATGACAGGTGTGAATTATTTTTGTAAACTATTGTTTTAACCCTCTCCAAACTAATTTAGCATTTAAAATAAATTATTTGAACTATTGTCTTATGTTTTATTTCCCTAGTTAGTTATTACCTTTCATCTTCAACATCATCAGCTACTTCTAGATTTTTAGACCTTGATTTCTCGACGGCTTAACCAGGAAATTATTTAAGTAGGTACTAGTTGACCCAGAAAATTTTGTGCTGCCTGAAAAGCTTTTTCTAACCTTTTAAACCTTTCCTGGACTTCCATGAACATTTCATTCAATATTAGGCAAATCGGTTCAGCTGTTCTCTAGTGTTAGCGAGGCTAACGAATAGTAAATCATTTTTATTTGTATATAGATAGATAATCAAATGGTGCCGAATAAAAAAATATATAGAAGGATAAAAATTAAGAAAAATGGAATATAAATGTATATGTTTAGGTATAGAATGACTCAATACTAGATACTGCAATCAGTAGGAGAGTATGGAAGAAAAAGACACGGTGTGATGCCAAATCAAATCTATAATCCGATATCCTGAATAAGTTACGGGCAAGAAAAAGGAGATTTTAGATGTTAAGGAGTTTTGGAGACTGTGTTGACAACCAAAAGGGTAGAGACTTAGTATTGTATTTAAATCACTGTAAATGCTGTAAATTGATTTAAATATTGCAGGATCTCGTTAGGACCAGCTTTAAGAAAATATTTGCAGTGATATAAATGATTAAGAAAAAGAGATTACAAAACAAAATATAAGAAGCAATACAAGTGAATTTTATTTTTATATGTGAATATACTGAGAAAAGCTTCGAAGTTTCGAACCACAGAGGGGTTCTTCCTCATGATTGTTACAAAAACAGGTGCAGTAGTGTCTATAGTAGGTACAATAATGTATGATGATCAGGTTATCTAATCCTCCTGTTTGTTCTCATGTATACAGTGTGAAACTCAGTGAAAGAAACGCTAACAGATACACACAGCCATAGATTTCCTAAATTCATGAACATTTCAGTTGCATCGAACATAATACACACAGGAATACGGTTATAGTTTCAAGTGTCAAATCGCGCGGTTTATTTTTACACCGCGCATGCGCAGATGCGCGTGCGCCGGTCAGTCAGCCCGGTGTGCTGTATCGCACATGGGGGTTATTTAGATAATTTTATAGTGTTTTTGTTAAATTCTATTAATTGTGTTCCTTTTATAGTGATATAAATATATGGGATTGTGACGGTTCACAAGTAAGTCGTTTAATGTGGTGATTTTGATATAGGAATCAGTGGTTATTGATTATTAATAGTTCATTTATAGCCTTTGAAAATGTAATACAATACACTTTTGACAACTTGATTACAGTTGAATGGGTTACGTTAAAATTAATTCTTGAATTAATAAAAAGATACAAAATAAGTAAATACCCTGGCTCGACTGATGTAACGCCTGATGAATAAGAGGCAGCAATTCTCTTGAAGACAATTTGAACTGTTGTATGTGGGTCAATCAATTTTATGGAATATTACGTACAAGTGGTGATAATTAATTCTTAATTTGTATTTTATGTGGAAACTATTTTACTGTAGACTACAGATCAAGAAAGTATAGAAAGAAAGATAGAAAAACCATTTATTTTGCTACGACACACAACAAGAATTTAGGAACACACAAATAAGCCTATGGTGCGTCGCAGCGCAAAAGGCTGGAGCTCAGCTTAATACCGTGGACCGGACACAGAGGCTCGACCCCACGGCGCTGATTTTCAGTACCACACACTTGACAGGCCAGACGACATTTACTTTTTTTCTGAAAGCCCTTCTAATAATTTTCAGAATGGTGGAACAAGGGTCCTGTATAGTGTGCTTATCTCCAGCAATCCAGAAATGTTCTGGCTGCCAGAATGTGCACTATTGCTCCAAAGACCACCAGAAAAAGGACTGGAAGCAGCACAAGTTCCAGTGCACCCCAGCCAGGTTGAAGGAGAGTGAGAAGTATGGAAGGTACTTGGAAGCCACCAGGGATATCAAGGCTGGAGATATCGTCCTGAAGGAGAAGCTTCTTATCACTGGACCAGCTCAGGTAGGTAGCATATTTCATATACAAGGCTACACTGCCATGCATTTTTAATTTTATTTGTTACTAGCTGTTTCCCGCGACTTCATCCGCGTAGAATATGAATTTTAGAACATAACTTTTTATTTCAGTTTTCTAAAATAAAAGTCTGTCAAAATCGGTCTAGCCATTCCAAACAAAAATGGTAAAATATGTTATTTTGGTATGTGTATCGTATGTATATTCATAAAATAAAAATTTTAATATTACAAACAGTCACTCCAATTTTATTTATCTGTACAAATAAGTTGGTCACCATACTTTATCATTAATTTTCATAATCACCAGGTAACTCCGCCAGTTTGTCTTGGTTGCTACAAGCTGCTGGAAGAAGGCAAGACGTTATCGTGTGAGAAGTGTGGCTGGCCCTTCTGTTCCGCGGACTGCATCGTGAAGGAGGATCATGACCCTGAGTGCCATTATACTCAACAGAGGGGAGAGAAGGTAAGTTACACTACATCACATATTTTATTGCATAGATTCATGCAGAGCATCTTCAAATTATATAGTACCACTTTTCGATATAATTTATTGCGTATAGTCGTTGAGATAAATACTATATATATAGAAGGATTTTATACTCCTAAAACCCACTTACTCAAACAAAAATAAATCACACTTAAACTGTCAAACACCAAGCGGTCACCGGTGACCGCGACCTATTGTTCTTTAATTGTGTCTATAAAACCGGTACTCGACGTGTTAATACAGTCATGTATGATGGAAAAGCTTTACAAGAATTACTATTTCCATATCTCTTTGAGTTTCCGTACCTAAATGCCCTATCAATTTTAATATTTTCTAATTCTCGGTTTTCAGGTGAACATTTCCACATTCGGTGTACCACATCCGAATTACCAGTGCATCACTGTTCTCCGTTGCCTGTACCAGCGCGATCACAACCAAAAGCTGTGGGAGAAGATCCAGGCGTTACAGTCTCACTGCGAGGACAGGAGGGACACCGACAAGTGGAACAATGACAAGAAAATGGTTGCTGACTTCATCTGGAAGTTCTTTAAGTTAGAGGGCACCTTCAGTGAGGAGGAGATCATGAAGTGCTGTGGAATACTGCAGGTGAGAGATGAATAAAGTAAAGTCGCATTTTCTTAACAATTTTCACTGAAAGATTCGGTTGTTATGTAACACAGTCTTCGTTAGCTATATTAAAAGCAAATCAAAAATCTTTTTTAATGTAGTTAGCATTGCTACATGTTGGTGGAAAAATCCGCCTGATCTGGGAATCGAAAGCGATACCTTTGATGATAAAGTGAATTAAACAATACGATGTATGCACATGTTACGTTTCAGATCAACGGTCATGAGGTACCTCTCCTGGAGCCGGAGTATGTGGCGCTATTCGACCGGATCTCCATGGTGGAGCACAACTGCCGCGCCAACTGCAACAAGAGCTTCACGTCACAGGGTGATATTGTACGTGGTTTTGTTATCTGAAGTATTGTAAATTATTGTCTAGGCTTGCAAAGAAAATACTAGTCTTCGACGTATATCGACTATAGATGAATCAGGAAAAAGTTAAAAGAATCGAAAAGTCTAAGTAGAGTGATATTAGGTATTATCTCAAGCAAAAATAGCCCTAAACAGCAACTGTACATGTTTCAGATCCTCTGCGCTGGTGTTAACATTTCCTCAGGCTCCCACATCACCGTGTGCTATACAGACCCCATGTGGGGCACGGAAGCGCGGCGCCACCACCTCGCTGACTCCAAGTTCTTCGAGTGCACCTGCGAGCGCTGCTCTGACGTCACCGAGCTAGGGACCATGTACAGTGCTGTCAAGTGTAAGAAGAAGTAAGCATAGTAATTTATTAAAGCTTGTACTTGATCTACTGTCGATGATCTTAGAGGTCAGAATGGTGGCGTTCATTCTATTCGTGATTGTTTCATTTCCTTTAAACTATCTATTGGTACAAACACGAACAAACAGTTTGACAGGCATCGTATGTTATTCCAGGGACTGCAGGGGCTACCTTCTACCAGACACCTTCATCCTCCCCATCCTACACAAGACGAAGAACCCCAACCCTGAGACCCGCAACTTGGACAACAAGTTCTGGAAGTGTAACTCCTGCCAGGATGCAGTGTCTGATGCCATCATACAGCAGTTGGTGCAGGATATCGGCAGAGAGCTCAGCATCATGCCTAAGGGAGACCCTGAGGCTTGTGAAAGGTCAATAACACGTTTACAATTCACTAAAAATAGCATCATGAATATGAGTTTAGTAGTAGTGTTAAAATCATGGTCGAAGTTTAAATACTCAATGCTAATCTAAGCTTCTAAACTCCTCCAGGTTTATAGGTCACTGCAGCAGCTACTTGCACCCCTCCCACTTCTACATGACGGACGTGAGCCTGGCACTGGCACAAATGATAGGCCAGGAGGTGGAGCAGGGGCTGGCGATGGTGACAGACGACCGGCTGCTCCTCAAAACACAACTCTGCAAAAAGATCGCTGAGCTACTCGAGACTTTGGCTCCTGGTAAACTTAATATGACTTTGTTAGCCTGATGCAATGATATAATGAAGCTTCCTAGAATTATTGATTAACTTTTTGATTAGTCCTATGGCGTCCAGTAATCAAGGAACTTTATGCTTTAGGGATTTTGCAAACATGTGTAAATCTTGAACATTGCGATAACACAATTCACTAGAAAGATTAGATTGATCAAAAATAGGATTTTAAAACATTCTTTTTGATACATTATTTTTATTCATTCTTCGTGCGATAAATAATTTTGGTATGTCGCAGCTGAAACTCGTCTCCGTGGCACGTTGCTGTTCGAGCTGCACGCTGCAGTAGCGGAGTCAGGTCGCAGGCATGCGCTCACTGATGGACCCATGACCTTACTGGGTTATGTTTCGGTAAGTTATAGTTTCTTTAATATTTGTAAGTGATTGAGAGATTAAGAGTAGTGTGTAAAAGAGGGTTAAGTAATTAAATAGAGAAGAAGTTGAAATCAGTTTGAAATTTATTAAATAAATATTTATGACTAAATATTTATGACTGCCTCGTTGGCCGAGTGGTCGCAAGTGCGACTGCCACGGGCAAGGGGTCTCGGGTTCGATTCCCGGGTCGGGCAAAGTATTACTGGGTTTTTAAAAAATTCTCAGTAGTAGCACGGAGTCTGGAATTGTGCCCGGTATATAGCAATAGGCTCACCCCCTATTACATGGGACTCATAACATAAATAGTGAAAAGTGGGTGTTACATTGTACAGTGGTATAATATGCACCTCTGCCTACCCCTTCGGGGATAAAAGGCGTGACGTTATGTTATGATATTTATAACTACACTTTATAACTACAGTTACTTTTTCCATACAAGGTAAAATGACAAAAGAACCGACTTTGACTGCACGGTTGTTGCGGTGGTCGGGCAACTGGTTGACGCGCAACGTGTCGCGGGTTCGATTCCCGCACGGAACAACTGTTTGTGTGATCCACATATTGTTTTTCCGGGTCTGGGTGTCTGGTGTGTGTGAACTTGTATGTTTGTAAACACACCCACGACACAGGAGAAAATCCCAGTGTGGGGCAACGTTTCTTAAAATAAAAAAAGCTTTTGTTTATTTAGAATGATAGCATGCACTGATGGGTCAGTGTGTCCATGACCAAAAAACCAAAATCTCATTAAGAAAGAGATCATAAATATTTCTGAAAAACATATTCATGAAGCACATACCAGAGTCAGTCAGTAGGTACACACTTCATAAATATTTGTAAACACACAACGTTACGTCAGCACAAATTTTAATTCTTGATAAGTCATTCTTCCAATGGCGGCGCCACTATAAAAGAGAAGCTTTACGCAAGGGAAAACACTGCAATTAGGAGTTTAGGACTTCCTAACATTTGTTGTGGTCGTAAAAATGAGTGGCCAACGTCTTACGTCTGTGCTTCAGTGGGACTAGACCTGTTATCATTGAATACATAACCGTGGCAATGTAAACAAATATAATGTGACGTCATTATCACGTGTATTATGTCAACAGAGCCTTCTTAATTATAGTTGAAATTCTTTTTATATGTTGTTTATTTAATTAAAGTATATACATGTTTCTTCAAGAGCTGGTTTAAAGTTGGGTTTCGAAATTTTGGAGACTAGAATTAGACTTTCTGGGAATCTTTACTTCCCTCAAAAGGAGGCCCAATTCCTAACCAGGAACATTTTCTTAGTTTCAGTGAAAAACATGGCTTTTGAGAATAAGGAATTTGAGGATTGTTGGGGATTCAGGGATTGGGGAAGGGGGGAGGGTTAATTAGGCCTCCGGTAACCTCACTCACACGACGAAACAGAACGCAAGCGCGCCACGAGCCACGCCAGTTTTCTGTGAAGTCGTGGTATCAGTCCGGTCGAGCCGACCCATTCGTGCCGAAACATGGCTCTCCCCCACTTAATTGTTCATTTCTGAAAACTATAGAATGGTAATCATTTCCAACGACACGTTCATGTTTGTTGTATTCCCCGAAAGGATAGAAAGAGATGTTTCTTATTTGCGCTAATTTGGACCAGTTAGTGGGCACAACTATTACTATCTAGGGCATTGTCAAATGCTCGGCGCTTTTGAAGTTCCTGTGCTTTATTCTCTGAAGATTTAGTTTTCTAAATCTTGTGCTTATATTATTAATGATGTCTAATATTCTGCCTCGTTGGCCGATTGGTCGTAAGTGCGACTGCCGGGCAAGGGGTTTCGGGTTTGATTCCCTGGTCGGGCAAAGCATTACTGGGTTTTAAAAAATATTTCAGTAGTAGCAGGGAGTCTGGAATTGTGCCCGGTATATAGCAATAGGCTCACCCCCTATTAAATGGGACTCATAACATAAATAGTGAAGACTTCGAATTACATGATGAGGCCCTCATAATAAAGATTGCTTACTAATTCTATCGACGTGCTTAATTACTTATGTATGTGTCATTGAACGTATAACTGGTTATTTCCCATATAAAAGATATCTAGAGACAAAACACGCGATCATTTGATGTTAAAATGCTTAAGTACCTAATCATTAGTCAGCAAAAATGAACCGGATTAATTCAAAGTATGACTGCCTTTTTGGCCGAGTAGTCGTAAGAGCGACTGCCGGGCCGAAAGGGTCTCGGGCTGTATTTCCGGGTCGGGCAAAGTAATACTGGGTTTTAAAAAAACTCAGTAGTAGCACGGAGTTTGGAAATGTGTCCGGTATATGGCAATAAAAGAGCGTACTCCTTTTTAAAAGGCCGGCAACGCACCTGTGACTCTTCTGGTGTTGCAGGTGTCCATGGGCGGCGCTGATCGCTTACCATCAGGTGATCCGTCTGCTCGTTTGCCTCCAATTCCATAAAAAAAAAAAAGAAAATAGGCTCACCCCCGATTACATGGGACTCATAACATAAATAGTGAAAAGTGAGTGTTACATTGTATAACATTGTTCAGTGGCATTGAGTGCTGTAATGTGCACCTCTGCCTACCACTTTGGATATAAAAAGGCGTGATGTTATGTTATGTTAACTCAAAGTATTTTATTTGATCGATGGAAAAATGTCAGATCAGTCTGTAACCTAACTAAAGACTCAGGGAGTAGGTACGTAGCTAATCAAAAAAAAAAACTTTCTGCCAGTGTGGGAATGCCTCTTCAATAAATCTAAGTATAATGTGTCTAAAGTAATGGAGTTGAAAAGAATAGCATCACGCAGCCAAAATACGTGCGCGACAAAAGTACGTAGGCACAGCAACGCTTCTATACCGGCCACCATCAACTGATGTTAGTGCCATAACAACTCAACCGGTGAATCCATTGACATCACACCACAGACAAAAACAGTCTTGTACGTGTCTACTCGCGCCAGCAACTGGACCACGGCTCGCTCCAGTTACTCGCCCGAAATACTGACACTGATTCTTCTTGTTTAGAACTTTTTGTGAGATGTGCAAGTGTGGGAGATACGCTAAGAACAAATATGAGAATTATTCCAAACTCTCAGAGAAATTAAAAATAAGTGCCGGTCGTGTCGTAAAATAAAATAATAATGAATGTGTTGTCTTTGTCTTAGCGGAGTCTAATTAGTTTTATAGTGGATTGTAAAATGTTTATCATTATAGCTAGCGATGCGTAGCAAAGTAAATCTGTTGTTGCGATCCGGTCTTGTATCTTGTAGCTAAAACAAACAATCCGAACAATTATACTAATGCAATAAGAATGTGACGGTGGATATTATTGTGAAAGTATGAAAAAATTTATAATAATTTGTAATTTAAAAGTGTGGGAGAGCCATGCTTCGGCACGAATGGGCTGGTTCGACCGGAGTGATACCACCGGCCTCACAGAAACTAACGTTGTGTTTCGTCGTGCGAGTGAGGTTACCGGAGACCCAATTATCCCTCCCTTCCCCAATCTCCCCAATCGCTGAATCCCCAACAATAGTCAAATTCCTATTCTGTCTGCTCGGTTACCAGATTATCCCTTACAAAAAAACTGATCCTGGCATGTTTTTTAAACTTCAAATACTCAGTTGGTTTCTATCTCATAAAAAATTGTACGATTCATATGAACCAAGACATTTTGTGTAAAAAAAAAGACATTTTGTGTCTCTGGGGTGCAATGGATATTGTTTTTCGGTATTATTTTTATTTAACTTTGTTATAAATTTTACAGGAATCTCGTAAGATCCTGTCAGAATCAGCCCAGCTGCTGCGTCATGAGCCTCCTGAGTTACCAGAAGGTCGTCTGAACCGGCAGGCGAGGATCAACCTTATTCAAATGGACGAACTGATCAGGAACCTGTCTGCCGCGTTACCTTCACCTTTGTAAATTAAATACACAATATATTATGTTTTGTACTGATTATTATGTTGGTGTTTTGTTTTGTTTATCGTTTTAATCGCCGTAGTAAAAAAACAATGATGCGACATTGGAACCTTAAAGAAAAGAGCGTATTATATACTTTTTAAAAGGCCGGCAATGCACCTGTGATTTATCTAGCGTTGTGGGTGACCATGGGCGGCGTTGATCGCTTACCATCAGGTGATCTGTCTGCGTGGTTGCCTCCTATTCCATAAAAAGGGGTGTTTTATTTACTTGACTGGATTAACTTTGTAACTTTTGGAAATTGCTATCTATCTTTTTGTGAAACTGTGGGATAAATTAATAAAGTGAAACCAATAAGACTGCTCAAACCTAGAATTAAACTGAGAACCCCTTTCTCCGCAGTCGCACCTAGAACACTGGACCTTTAAGGCAGGCAGCATGCAGAAGCTATTTAGCAACTTACGATACGACCTTCAAACCTTCAAGAAAAGAGCGTATTCCTTTTTAAGAGGCCACCAACGCACCTGTGGCTCATCTGGAGTTGCCCGCACCCGTGTTAATGAACATCGCTGATCGCTTACCATCAGATGATCCATCTGCTCATTTGCCTCCTATTCCATAAAAAAGAACTTGTGTTATCTATGGAATTGGAAAATAACATACAAGAAGTAGTCATTACAATTAATGAAAAACTAACGTGTGCACTTTCAAACGTCACATGGTAAACGTTTATAATTGAATGCATAATATAAAATATAACGATCCCATCGTCGGAGAAAGCAGGTCGGCGCACGCGCAAGGGTAAAAAATAACCGTATTTGTGCAAACACCGCGGGAGCCTTACACTGGAGACTTATAGGTTATTTTTACTATACTGCCTTAAGTACCAACAAACAGATCCATGAATATAAACGGACGATAGTATTCTTCGAAATGTTTCTAATGGCTGAGTACAGAAATACTGTATTGGCATTCGAATGAAGTTTTTTATACTTTGGAATGGTCATTGTACTGCCTCGTTGGCCGAGTGGTCGCAAATGCGACTGCCGGGCATGGGATCTCGGGTTCAATTCCCGGGTCGGGCAAAGAATCACTGGGTTTTTAAAAAAAAACTCAGTAGTAGCACGGAGTCTGGAATTGTGCCCGGTATATGGCAATAGGCTCACCCCCTATTACATGGGACTCATAACATAAATAGTATAAAGTGGGTGTTACTTATGTGTGTTATATATTACCCGTATAAGAGGCGTGATGTTATGATGATGTTTTTGGAATGGTCATATCAAGTTAATATCATGTTATTAAATAGTGACACAAACTGTTAATCTGAGTGCCTGTATATTGAAAATCAGTTAGAAACTTTTTTTTCACACAATAATATGTGCATGGAATACATAGGTAACTAAAATAAGTCCTAGGTACTCTGTCTTGGCTCCTCGCATTAATATCTAGACTTTTAAGTAGGTACCGATCGAATTTATAAAAGAAAGCGAGCACGTCCCGCTACCTGCGCGTGCGCTGGTCGTCAGGCTGAGTGACATAAAGGGAGCTCCGCGAACGACGCGTTAATTGGAGCGATATCGACACTTCGCAGAATCGAACCTACTGCCGCGATACCATTATTATTTATTTATAAGTTAGTTGACACCTCGTTCCGTCACAAGATCTATCGATGACCTTAGTTAAATTAATAATAAAGAATATTAAATTAAGTACACTGGTAACCAAAATTGACATAACTCAATTTCGCCTGAGTTTATGATACTAATGAGAAAGAAGGAGATGAAATTCTCAAACGAAGAACACTGAACACCGTGCTTCTTATTAGTCTATGCAGACGCATGCCCCTAATAAAAGATTGCATAGATTCGATCGATCCTACCATCGCGTTCCCGACTGGAAGACGTAGAAGAAAACTGACGAACCTATAGTCAAGTCAAGTCAAAATCATTTATTTCAATTAGACCAGGATGGCACTTTTGAACGTCAAACAACAAAAATTTATAAGTGAAGCTAGTTGCTCATTCCAAGGCGTAGATTCCTCTCCTATGGAGAAGAACGAGCAAGAAACTCCATAGGTTACTCTTTTTCAATCAGGTTTACAATAAAATTCTCTAGTTACATATATATTATATAACTTACCAATAAAAACACATATATTATTGAAGCCAACGTGACACATCAATTACTTAACACATTAAACGCCGCGGGGGTCACCGGTGACCGACGCTAGAGAAGAATTTGTCTTCAACAATTATCTATTTGCAGTCAAAGGCTTAATCAATAAATTACAGAGGAATGTAGGTACATAGTTTGTAGATATCTATGTCATTTCTCTGACAGTATCAAAACATATAAGTACCCCTCGTGCAATGGTTGGCTAAAAATATATTAGATACGTAAAGTAATCCTAAAGTTAATATGAAAAGTAAACTTGATGTCAAGTTTGAGGCTACATGAGGCGATAGATTAGAGTATAAGCATGGACGAACACTATACGATTGTGATAATACAATGCTGAACAAAAATAAGACGTTTGTTAAAGAAATTGAAGTTAATTTTAATTTTCAGTCTCAAAATCTGTGTTTAAATCCAGAAAAGATGCTCACAGGACACCGGAATAAAATAACAATCGTCTTGTGAGTGAGGTTACTAGAGGTCGAATCCCCCCATACCCCATCCTACTACATACCCAACTACTTATTTCTAATCCACAAAACCCAACCCAAAAAACAGGCAAATCCCTTTTTGGTGAGGCGAGAGGGAGTGTCAGACTCTTACTGACTAAAAACCACTTCGAGCCGGAGCCCCGGCAACCCGTTAAGCCCTCCGCAGCTCACTTGTGGCAGCGATTCCTTGCCACCAGGTGAACCGTCCGCTCTATAACGTAAAAAAACTTAATCTTCACCTAGTGATAACCCTCCTTTGTCCGACCTCTTATGCTCACTGAGTTTCTGTTTACACACTTATTTATTAGGTACACGTGTCCGGCGCCAGACCTACACGTTTGTTATTTTTTCAATTTCGAACTGTGTACCTAAGGACATAGATATAGGCTTCACAATAAGTAAGCATGTGTCTTGCTGAATAAAGGTAGTGGCCGCATATGAACCCTAAAAAATGAACACATTTGGAGGTCAGCTTTGTTTGTAAATGATCCAACTAAAAATTGAACATCCAACTAAAAAGTACCGAGACAGAATAATTACCAGTTCATAAATGTGATTCCCCAGACTTCCCAACTCAAGGAAACACCATTTGCTAATTTAAAGCTCCTGGTTTGAGCTGATCATCAAACTTTCTCAACGTCGAGAGAAATTTCTTAAGTCAATCCGTGAATCGGAGGAAAACTTAAGCCCCTATTATTCAAATCAAGTTTACAAAAAAAAAAAAACTACGATAATCTCCCAAAAAATGGCAATCTAACAAAAAACACACGCGAAACATTTTCTCATCGTGGGTATTGAATTAGCACATATTTCGAGTAAATCCCAAGCGAAGAAACTGCACGTCATATGTCCAGTTATCTTCAAGTTCATAATAATTTTCAGTTTCATGAACAGGCTGTATTCTCGCACATCTAGTCGGTACGTTGAGATGTTGCCGGTTCGTTATCTTTAGTAGTTATCACATGTAAATATCAGCCAATGACGAAGACACGCGAAAATCTAAGGACAAACACGGCGAGTTTTGTTCCAACTGCCGAACTGTTCGTACGTGGTATCCAAGTCCTGAAGAAGCTTCGAAGTGACCGATTATACTTGAGTTTGTGGTGAGCTATGCCTTGAGGGTTGTGTGTGGTTCCTGGTGGTTTTCTAGTTGGCAGTGAGGTTGTTGTGTAATACAATCGAATGGCGTCAGTCGGCGTCGTGTTTGCTGTTCACATTACCAGATACACCGTGTGCACGTTACATCGTCTTGAAGGTTTGTCGCTATTTCTATTTATGCTTTGTTGCTCAATTTATTATTTATTGCAAATTTTAATTAAAACTTATTAGTAGTAAGATTTGTTAATCAAAACTTGGTATACTAGTTCTATCCAGTTCGTATCAGTTGTAATTTTCAAATTAAGTAAAGAACGATACGTAAAATTTCTTACTTTGACCCTTAAACTATTTGTACTACCTTAAACCACGAAACACCTTATTGTTTCTTTGTTTATCAACAATCGCTAACCAAAATGCATGCCAGATCTAACCGCAAGCTGGCGCGCAGTGGTCAGAAGAATACCAAACAAGATGCCAAGCCCTTAAATCCGTTTCTCTAAGTACTACTTAACGACCTTGCCTACCAATTCATGCGATAAACTTCAAAATTACCTTCTTTACCTTATCCTTCTTGACATAAGAATGATAGATTCACAACATTACCCATCCCTAAAACCTCGTAATCATCGTCGTCTTTTCAGCATTAGACGCACTTGCGGTTACTATTTCACAGATATTTAGGTGATGGTGACCACATAGCTTATTGCAAAACTAGTTATATCCAGTTATTGATAAGTTAAATATTAAATAACATTATATATTATAACAAACATTCACGAAGTACTCGCATGACTGTCAAAACGCCTACATTTCGCGTTTCGGTCACGAATTTGATACCGAATAATTGTTTGTGTAAATTCTGGGCCCTCTTTGGACATTGTGCCATGGTATGTCACTTATGCTCATTTCTATGTACTAGGAACCCACATCCATTAAATATCTCATAGCTATACAAATAGAACCTATTTTGTCTTTAGTTACGAAGCTGAATCTACTAAACACGCTTCTCAACAGCTCTGACACTTTTCTCACAGAAATACTTATCTGAATAAACTATACAGCTGGGACTTATTTCTACATGCTTATGAACGTCTCTCTTTTGTTGTGTTAGTGTAATTTATTGACATATAGAAACATGTCAATACATGTAACATGTAGGAAGGTGTGTCACGTTTGTCTATTTGTATCAAGAAATGCATAACATAACAAGATTGTAAAGTGCTTATTTCTGCAAACATACTTTTCAAATCCTTGCCAAAATATAGTTAAACTCAGACATTGAGACCAAGTTAAACATTCACAAATCAGCTATACGTTTAGGATTCAAAAAGTACATTGGCATCATATATCAAGTCCACTAGTCAATGGAAATCTCCCATCTTTAAGTAGCATTAACTAAAAAGCTCATGACAAAGTTTTTAAGTAATAATAATAAAAGTAAACAGTATTGGTTAAGTCACTGCTCCATTAAAAGTCCAATGTCCTTCACAAATCAAACCTACAGTGAAGAAATTGACACAAGTTCCTCTGTACATCTTGGCGGTACGCGCGTTCTCATTTAACATAAAACATCACACTATATAGCAAATAAATCTATTATTCCTTCATTCCCAAATGGATGACAAAATTGGCACGATGATGCTAAGTAAATAAACAATCGACAGTCTCTAGCGAAACAATCTGCGTCATTTTTGACGTGTCCACTGCCAGTTTTGCTATTTGCTATAAAAGTACTTACAAATGAAAGATGTTAGAATTTTCCAGTTCATGAAGACATTGAACAACATCTACATCCATAGTTTTACAGTCCTCTGCTGGAATTTGAGGCTCCTCCACATAAAAGGATTTACCATAATCTTCACTTATACTTGATTGAAGGACACAGTTTAAAGGATTCAGGTTTATCAGCAAGCGTTGCTATTCAGTCTCTATAATTCCCTCCGTCAGCTGTTAGGATATCTGCAGGAAGGGTAAGGCTAGTCACAAATGTCTTCTGTACTCTGCTGTCACCATACACACACACATAACCAATGAATCGTTTCACCCAAATGGACTTGTCCTTAAGATTCGATTACGCAAAAAAATCATGATTTTCCTATGCCTAGGTTAAACCTAGATCTTCTTTTTCTTGGAGCCATTAATGACCATTTCAATTTTGGAATTCACTACAGCGTTTGACGACCTAGGTGTCTCGTTGACAATCAGAATTGTGACAATTAGTAGTGACAAAATATGGTTTCCTTTACATCTTTCTTATTTTGCTTCTCCATATCTTTTCAACCATATGAATACGTCATCAGATCACGCCCTTCTTTCATATCACTCCTTACCTTACACAATCCTTTCATCTTGTCATCTTCAACCATTAATACAATACAGTTTGCATTGAGTCTTTATTACATGCTGTTACTAGGCAAAATATAACTGGATCCCTAAAACCAATGAATTCAAATGTAATCACAATTAACCCACATTGCCATCAATTATAAGCTGTTGTTTGATCAGCCTCCGACGTCACACTGTTATCAGTTTACTTGAGATTACTTGCGTTCACAAATCAAAATATATGCCGTGGAAGATTTGCAAATTATATGCACTATGCAATCGTTTGATAAATTCCTGTTACGATATTTTTATTTTCTTGCTTAAGTTCCACTATTAATTCATCCGTGTGTATTAAATTGAAACTAATGTCTTATCCTATTAATGGAGTCGTCCGTTTTCAGTTTGTAGTCATATCCTAACTGGTAAAATGGTAGCTAAATTAAGAAGTCGCAATAATAAATTAAGTAGAATCAATCCTTTTATGAAGATCAGCTTATCTATGCCACATATTATTTACGTAAATCTCGTCATCCATAAATTTCACACCATCCTAAGCATACTTTCTCATTTTCACAAAATCTTTATTCAACCATTCATTTGTTTTTTACATTACATCTGCATAGTTGTCATTTTCCATAACAAGGTGTGTGATATCATACGCAATTAGTATTTTATTAATAACTGCGACAGATATGCCTTTATTATTACCTACCGGATGATGCAGCTAGTTATAGGGTTTAACCCACACGCGCCAGACATTGTCGGAGACTGTTTTGCATTTCCACACCGGATCTACAATAACATTGACAAATAGAATTTAAAGAAAATATTAGAAAAACAGTAGATCATGTTGACTCTGTCGCGTACACGCTAATTCTGTCGCGACAGATTGTTAAAAAGAGAATCAAATACATGTTTCGAAGTGATAAAATGAAGATGGGAAACACCTGACTAATCACGCTTAAATGTAGAATTAAGTTTTTAATATAAGCCTTTTGATGGAATTATCAAATCATTTAAAAATCGATGAAACTAGTACTAATGTGACTTTTTAAGTACTTTTCTAAGAATTTTTAGACATCACTGACAAACGGTGAACCAAAAAATCATGAGGAAACCTTGGCTTATAATGTCTAAGTACAAGTTTGGAATCGCCAACACGCATTGAACAAGCATGGTTATTAATGCTCAAACCTTCTCCGTGTGAGAAGAGGCTTTTAGTCAGCAGTGGGCATTTGTAGACTGTTGATGATGATGATGATGAGTTAAAAGGAAAGTCAGGTTGTAATAATTCAACAATTAACTGTGTACAGTTAATTATATATAATACTTAACGCTTAAAATCTTCAGTTGCAATATCTTCGTCTCTAAAAATACAAATCTCTTCTATTCCAGAAAAGAAGACATGTCAATAGCTCGCTACATCTGGCTACTTCTGTGTTACGCTCAATACGCAAGGTCCAACCTTATGGATGAGTACAAAGACTTCACCAGCACCTTCTTGTACCCCAAGGATGATAAGACGGAGGAGCTCCCCATCCAGCTCGGCAAGGACTGGGCGTCTGGTTGCATCTGCAGGGCCACCTACCACCAAAGAGTCGTCGTTTGCTTTGGGAACTACGAGTGCATGAAATTCCCTAGGGTGAGTTGTTATTTCTTTAGCTGGTACATCAATCCCATAAAATAAGTGTCCCATAAAATAATGGGCAAACATAGCAGATCATACACTATGCACAATTTCCAATGCTGTGCTGTTATTATGTATGAATTTTATAAATAAACAGGTACTTTGTTTGTACTAGGAATCGAACCTCAGACCTCGAACTCGGTCAACCGTAACCCAAACAATCTAAAATATTGCATGACAAAAACTGTTATTATTGAAAAAGAAACAATTCTTTCTATATGTTAGATCATTGTTTTTAAGATTAGTTATCCGCATTTATCCGCTTTAGAAATCCCTTATATTGTGACGTAACATGTATTCAGTTTACCTAACTTATCGTAGATAATATCCTATGAGACGTAGAACAATGAACAAACAATAATCTAACACAAACACACTGTCACTGTGTATGTGTTTCACAACATAATAATACGTAACTATTAACTATCATCTACACACAAACATATAAACACGCTCACGCACACATCTGATATAAAATTTGAGCAAACAGGCTTGCTTAGATTTTTAAGGCGCAATAAGAAAAATCTACAGCATTTGAGATAAATTTTGTATGTTCATAGCGCTGCTAATAATAATTCATGAGCTGTTTATAGCACCTTGCTTAAAGATAATGTTTTCTTTTTATATTTATATTCACATTCATATTAAAAGTATTTAAGATAATCGTGACGTTTATCGCCAAATATATTAAGCAAAGTGCAAAATAATCTCTAGAGAGAAAGCTGATTAATTCTTGAACAAACCACGTTAACTTTTTGAGCAACTACTTATCTAACTAGACCCTTAACGTCTAAACGACTCTAGTTGAAAACTAAAATGATTTTTTACCTATTTTTTATTTATTTCCAGGTAAAAGTTCACAGTGAAGTGTTAAGAGTAAGAACTACAGTCATCACTGAAATACTAAAAGGGGAACTAGATTACTTATACTACTTGAAAGTATTAGAAATAGAAGCGAACCATCAGCTCCGGTACATACAGCCTGGAATATTCTCAAACTTGACAAATTTGGAACAACTGTCCATATCGTACAATACTTTACTTCAAACGATCCATGAGACTACGTTTGAGGGACTGACGAATCTCCACAACTTGACCTTAGTTAACAATGGATTTAGTTCAGTACTACAACTAACACCATCATTCAAACCCAGTATACTACCATCTTTAAGAAGACTAGATTTATCTGAAAATACTCTAGAAACCATCCCAGAAGATGCTTTCAAACCTATGGCAGGAACTTCATTAAGGAAACTAGATCTTAATTTGTGTAGACTAGATCACATACATCCCAATGCCTTTCTGCCACTTAAACATTTAAGAGACCTTCATATTGGAGACAATGATCTGAACTCCACGTTAATAGAAAACTTTTTGGTAACTTTGATTGAAAATAACATCAATTTATTACATTTAGATTTATCAGGGATGGGATTTAGGAAACAACCACCGAAGAAGCTGATGAATATTATTGCAAATTCTACCATACAAAGTTTAATACTAACGAGAAATCAGTTTGAGATAATCAGTAAAGATTCGTTTCCAAAAATGGTCAATTTACAACTAATCGATTTGAGAAAAGTTTCCTGCATCTTGGTGGACCCCATGGCTTTCACTCCTGAAATGTTTCCAAGCCTACGTTTTCTGCTATTGAGCGGTAACAATCTACCAGGAATCCATGGAACTCACTTGTCTAATCAACTGATGCTGTTAGATTTATCTGATAACAGAGGACATGCAAACAATCCAGTGTACTATGAAATAGACAGATATACCTTCACGGAGAGTAAAAATCTACAAGTATTAAACTTAGCGTTTAATGGAATTAGAGCTATTTTTAATTACACATTTACAGGACTAGAGAACTTGAAGATATTAAGTATGGAAAATGGCACAGTCTATCACATCGGAGCCGATAGTTTCAAAGCAACCACACATTTGGAAATACTAAACTTAGCTAACAATCCTTTGACTGCTAATCAAAATCTAACAAGTGCACAATTTGATGGTTTAAATGAACTAAAAATTCTAATACTGGAAAATTGTGGCATCAAGCAATTCTATGATGATGATAACTTCTTTGAGATGATGCCTAACTTGACTCACCTTGTACTTAGAAATAACCAATTGTATTACATAACCGCAGAGATATTAAAACCATTAAAATTCCTCCAATTTCTAGATCTAAGTGAAAATTTACTAATGTCATGGTGGAAACCAATATTTTTGTCTTCTGGTGTTAAACCAAATCGGTTGTATTTGACGAACAATAAAATATCACACTTCTCACTGAGCATGATTCAGGACATTGGTTACTTGTTGGAAGCAAGCAAAGGTGATATCGTCATAGATTTAATGGACAACATTTTTGTATGTGACTGCAACTCCATGTTTACTACATACCGTTGGCTACAAGCAAATGCAACTAAGGCTTTAAAGCAATATATCTTTAGCTCCAAATTTCAATGCACTAGTCCTGACTTGTGGGAAGATAGGAGAGTGTCAGAATATTTGATTTCAGTAAAAAGTCTGCACTGTCTGATGTACGAGAAGATATCGAATGTAATGGTGCTGGTGTGGACTGCGCCGTCCCTGGTCACAATATCTCTAGTCTTATTTATAATTGCTATTGTTTACAAGTTTAGAATGTATATACGCTACTGGATGTTCATAGCTAAGGTAGCATTAGGTAGAAATCTAAAGAAGAAACAAGTAAAGACAGATGGTGAGAAAACATACAAGTATGACGCATTTGTGTCTTATTGTAATGAGGATAGAGAATTTGTTCATGAAATGATATCACAGTTGGAATCGAAACCCCCGTTTCTGAAACTGTGTGTTTACGAGAGGGACTTTGAGATAGGGTCGTTTATATCTGAAGCGGTGCTAAACAGTATTAATGAGAGTAAGTATGTAATTTTGATAATAAGCAATAGTTTTGCGAAATCACAATGGTGTCGGTGGGAGACCCAGCTGGCAGAGTACCACAGGATATTCTTAGAGGATGGGACCACGTACGACCCCCTGGTGTTGATAAGAATAGGGGAAATACAGAGCAAGTACCTGACGACAACGTTGAAGTACTTGTTGAAAACGAAGATCTACCACTCGTGGGACCAGAGGAACGAGGAGGAGTTTTGGAAGAAATTGAGGGACGTTATAATTAAGAAGTGATGTTAATAATTATAGTGATTTCAATTTTAATACATTGTTATGTTTATGTACAAAGTTTTGGTGTGATTTTATTCAAAAACCATAACCGACACATCACGATGATTTATAGGTAATCTACCTCTATTGAATATGAAGCTTTCCAGATCTAAATTTAATTTATGCTATTATTTATGGAAAACATGGAAATTGTAATATTTTTATTAAAGATACAATTTCTCATTATATTAGAAGAAGTAAATAACAGGAGATAGACAAAGCAAAAATATTTAAGACTGAATTTTTTTTTAATCGAAAACTCCTATACGCATATACTCATGTTCAGAAGTTTCACCTATATTTGAGATAAGATATAAAATGATAATAAGATCAAGGTATCGAAATGCATTTTTTTTCATTTTCAATAAGCCGGTAGACGAGCAGGCGGATCACCTGATGGTAAGCAATCGGCGCCGCCCATGTTCACCTTTCGCTAATCTCCGAAACTACTGATTCGAATTGAATAATTCCTTTTGTGTTGGATAGTCCATTTATCAAGGAAGGCTATAGGCTATAAAACACCTCGCTACGACCAATAGGAGCCGAGCAGAGCGGGTGAAACCGCGCGCAAGTAGCTAGTTATTAATATAGGTAAAAGTACTGACCTACATACATTCTGTAAACATCAGTTCATGGAATTGATTGGCTTTTTTTCTATTTCTCTTCTATTTGTTCTGTTGCCTTACCTTTCTCTAGTATTGCAATTATTCTAATGTAAATCACTTTCTTTCACGGTTTGTCAATTCTATTAAAATTAATATGATAAGTAATACGCGATTATTGTTATGAGACTACGCTTTCGACGGCTCTGCATTTAGTTTATGTTAATTATTGAGGAAAATTGTTCATAAATTAGCAATAGATATACAATTCCAAGAAGTTATTAAAGTTTCTACGTCTGATTTTATAAGAACATAATATTTGTTTCGTAATCGGAGATGCAATTAGCAAATCAAAAAATAAAAGGAAAAGTAGTTCTATTTTTAAATTCTTCTATTGTCATCAATGATTGTTTACTGTTTTATCAGAATTTAAATTATTGACACTTATTCAATTGAATCGCATTAAATCTCAAATTAAGTAGACATTGTAATAAACAGGATGTTTTGTCCTACACATAACTTCTCTTCAAAATATTTTCTGCCTTCAATTTTGGCGTTTTGTATACTTAGGCACCGACTTCTAACCTATCAGTGGGTGGGTAACCTATCAGTGGGTACTAACTAATAATAGTTATTTTTTGCTTTTTAGTTTGTTATTAGTTTTTGGTTTTTTAAAGTCGGTTTTTAAACGCAGTTTTTTATTTTTTTATTTCATTATTTTTAGTATAAAGCTACATAGACCCCTTTTGTCACTTATAATCCACATAGGTGCAAAGTTCTAATCAATAGAAATCCATCAAGCCCAAACACGAGGTAGTTAATATAAACCGTTGAGGATTTCCCTCGACTATCTGTCGGCTCCATCATCAGGTAGACTCCAGACTCTTATCAAATTGTAGTACTTAAAATACTTAGATACTGTAAAATATAATAAACGCATTACTTGCCCCTACAATTTTCGAAAGTTCCCCTCGGTTTCCCCTAGGATTCCATCATCAGATACTGACCTCATGGCAATGGAACCATCTCGGGAGTATACCCTTTCGAACAAAACAAGAATTTTGGAAATCAGTTCACAATTAATGGCGGAGTAACCGGCGAACAAATAACAAAAAAAACAATCAGCCGAAGATAGTACCTCCTCCTTTTTTTGAAGTCGGTAAAAAGTTAAATGCTAATGTAATTGTAGTTCAAGTACCAATCGATCAGTATTCATTGGAGTTTTCCTCATTTCTCGCGCTTTCTTATCAGAAGGGAGAAAGTTGTAACGCAATATCCTTGAGAAAGTCAAATATCAGCAATGGCGGTGCATAAAAGTTAATATTTATCGACAACTCATGTGTCTACATGTAAGTACATAGTGCGTACAGTTTCACTAAAGCTTTCTACCGGAGATTAAGAAAAAATATATTACCTCCTGCCGCCCACAGTCAGCGCAGATGGTATGCAACGAGAGATCGCACAGGCATTTACTGTTTTGTTATCGAATAAGTCTTTAATCGTTAAATATCGTAATGTAAATGTGCTTATAGTGTAAGTTACTTTGAAGAGCAAAACATACTAAATGCAACCTTTTAAATAATTAGGCATAAACATGACAATCGCCACTTAAAGATTCCAAGCCTATGAATCATTAATATTTCAATTTCAACACACGTCGCCACCCTCAACTTCGGAAGCTAATATGCATTCCGTGAATTGCTACTAATACAAAACGACACAGAAATCAAAAATCGATATTCGAAATCGATACAGAAATGATGTACATCCTCAACTTTTTTTATGGCATAAGCCGGTAAACGAGCAGACGGATCACCTGATGGTAAGCAATCGGCGTCGCCCATGGACACTTGGAACACCAGAGGCGTTGCAAGTGCGTTACCGGCCTTTTGGGGATTAGGAATTTGAGGAATGTCAGGGAGTGGGGATATTGGGTAAGGGTTACAGTTAAGCCTCCGGTAACCTCACCTCACACGACGAAGCATGGCTCTCCCAAACTTAAGATTTGTACTTTTAGGGATTAGGAGTTTGAGAATCGTTGTGGATTCAGGAATTTCGGAGATTGGGGAAGGGGAGGGTAATTGGGCCTCCGATAACCTCACTCACACGACGAAACACAACGCAAGCGTTGCTTCACATTGGTTTATTGTGAGGCGTGGTATCACTCCGGTCGAGCCGGCCCATTCGTGCCGAAGCATGGCTCTCCCACACTTGACTTTCTCTTTTGGCTTTTGGTGATATGACCGAAACCAAATGTCAGACCAAAGCCAAATATTGTTTACTTACAATATCTAGACAGCAGAAAAGAAGGTATTATAAATAACAAAGCAAAACTATTAGTATCAACACCACAATGTTTAAGTCAGCTCGTCGTCACGGCAAATAACATCGTCAAACAACGATCTAACACTAAACACTTAAGTACCTAATCAGTAATTTCTCCATGACGTCAGTGGTTTCCAACATTGTCAAGCTTTGTTACTCTCATCAGGATTAATGATGGATGAAAATCAATTCCAAGCATAATGTCACAGACGATCTACTTGAACTGCAGCCGCTGAACGCAGGTCGCTTTCATAGTTCCAACCAGCTGGTACGGAAGGTATACGGTATGGTTTTTAGCAGTGGACGTCTTATCGGTGACACCGTGGTGATGATGATGATACTGATGATCCAAAAGTTCATGTCAAACAAGAAATGCCACAAAACAAACATAACATACATAACATCACGCCTTTTATCTCCGAAGGGGTAGGCAGAGGTGCACATTACTGCACTTAATGCCACTATACGATGTAACACCCACTTTTCACTATTTATGTCATGAGTCCCATGTAATAGGGGGTGAACCTATTGCCATTTGCCATACACCGGGCACAATTCCAGACTCCGTGCTACTACTGAGATTTTACTAAACTAAAATAGTATAAAAGTGTCAAAACTCTTCCTTCATCCAAAACGTATTAGATCTTCTCGTTCGTTTCATTCATTATTTCAGCTGAAGCATTACGTGAGATGTAAGTATTACAAAGTATGTATCACTTAAAAAAAGAAAGAAAACAATAATTAAAAAGAAACTGCACTCAAACTTCCTTCTACGTACTGCTAAGGAGTGCAATTCTTTGCCAGAGTCTGTATTTTCTGAAGAGTATAACCTGGGTGTCTTCAAGGCCCGAGTGAATAGGTTGCTTATGGGATGACGTGCTCCATCGTAGACCGCATCATCGCTTACCACCAGGCGAGATAGTGGTCAGACATCGGCCCATCAAATATATAAAAAAAAAACTATAAAAGTTTGAGATCCCCTATCTCTTCAAAAGCTTACAATATTTGCACATCATACACTCAATCTAAAATAGGTTAAAATGTGTTAAGATGATCATTTCTTAACAGTTATATCAATAGACTTTACGATAGATATTCCTTAGACATTTGCTAGACATTAACTCAAGTTAAATGTTTTGTTATGTTATTACAGTATTTGTTCTTCACCTACATCGATTATTAGGGGCTGTTGGTCAGCAATTGTTGTGTATGTTGATGTTATTAGCATTGTACCAGACTGTGCATACACTGCGACTTTCTATGAAGTTTGATTATTTATTAATTAACATCAAACCGTTGTTTGTTTAATGAAAGAAGGTGAAGTCTAGAATTTTTTGTTGATTTTTAGCATTAGCTATATCTTGGTCAATTGTATTCATCAGCAAGTTAAACAATCAATATATACTCTATTTATACACAGGGTGCCCTTTGTCATCATCATCGCCCGCCGACTATGTCCAATACTCTACAAAAATCAAAAAATTTAGGATCATCTTAAACACTGTCTTTTTGAGGCCTAACTAATGAGATATCAAAATCTGAAACCCTCATCATCAATAGTCTATAATATGAATGCTTACTGCTGAGCAAAGCCTCTTCCCACACGGAGAAGGTTTGAGCATTAATCACCACGCTTGCTCAATGCGGGTTGGCGATTACAAACTTATAATTAGAAATTATAAGTCCAGGTTTCCTCACGATGTTTTCCTTTACCGTTTGTCAGTGGTGTCTAGATAATCTTAGAAAGTACATATAACTCTGAAAAATCATATTGGTACTTGCCGTTGGTAGGTTTCGGACCCGCACCCTCATTCATGAGAAGCGGGCGTCTAAAACCTGCGGGCCACCACGACCACAATCGAAACCCTAACCAAGACTAAAACTAGAATCATATAATGAACATCACACTTGTAACCAATCAATCAGAGAAATAGTCACGACAAAATAACTATTAATGAATTAACTAAACAATACGAGGCACTCACGTAAATATACTGAGGGAAGCTCTATCAGTAGGCTGCGCGACATCACCACGAC